TGTTTAGTCTGGAGCAGAGGAGGCTGAGGGGAGACCTGATCGCCCTCTACAACTGCCTGAAAGGAGGCTGTAGTGAGGTGGGGGTCAGCCTCTTCTCCCTGGTAACAGATGATAGGACGAGGGGGAATGGTTTGAAGCTGCGCCAGGGCAGGTTTAGGTTAGATATTAGGAAAAACTTCTTCACTGAAAGGGTTGTCAGGCTCTGGAATGGGCTGCCCAGGGAGGTGGTAGAGTCTCCATCCTTGGAGGTATTTAAAAGAAGGATAGATGAGGTGCTTAGGGACATGGTTTAGTGGTCGGGTGGCAGGGTTAGGTTAAAGGTTGGACTCGATGATCTTAAAGGTCTTTTCCAACCAAAGCGATTCTATGATTCTATGAAAAATAGTTATGGGAAGACACCAACCACAGATCTGTTCCTGCAGAGGAGCAAATACGAACATGGAGCTCGCTCTAGAGAAGGGACGGCAACAGTAGAGGGTATTCAAGCGTATACAAGGATCTGCAAAAGGAAGAAAATAAACTCCATGCCTGCTACAATTGAAACAAGAAACAGTTGGCTTAAATTTTAGCAAGTTAGATATTAAAGAAAATATTTCTAGGGATGAGGGGAGCTAAGCCTGGGAAGACACTGTGTGGAGAGGTCGTGTAAGTGCTATCATGGATGATTTTAATGCGTGATGATACCAGATTCTGCCTTGGGATGAAGAAGAGCTCTTGAAGCCTGCATTTATCTGGGAATATCCTTACGAATAAAGCAAAGGAAATTAAAGCCCAGTGAAATGACTGTCAGACCTGCAGAAAAGACAGGATTGGATCAGAGAATGACTTTTCGTTTTTAAGGTGTTTGGTACAGGTTGGAAACTGCAACTGGAGCTGCTACTGGAGAAGAGGCAGCCCATGGCCAGTTGCTGTGACCCAAACTGGACTTATCCTGGCTCCCAAAAAGCAGGGCAGCGCAATTTGCATTGGATAGAGCTTATGCACCTCCGCAACCTCTTTCCAAGCCCTTTAATAGCAAAGGATAGAAGAAAAGCATGGTACTGACTTCTTCCTGCTCCAAAGGTCCTGTCCACAGAGAGGGTCGGGAACGGCACCGGCCGAAGGGTGAACTGCGGGTGGGGGTATCCGCAGGTCGGGGACGGCAGGATCCCGGGGTACTGGGCACTTTCTAGTGTTGGCACCGGAATGGCACTGACCACAGCTAAAAGGGAAGAAGGAGAGAGAGGTTAGATGAGAGCTTTCGGAAAATTAGAAGAATTTTTTTAAAAAAAGTCATCAGAGGGTCAGTAGGGAACCAGAAACAACCATGTTTCCAAAGCAAAGTACCCAAATGCTCGGTATAAAACACCTCTGCCCACAGAAGCCACCTCTGTATACAGATATATGCCCCTTTGGTATACAGTGGATAATTGCAAGTGCAGTCTGCAATTACTTATCTGTAAAATTAAATAGCTTTTTGTCTGTGTTCCAGCTATTCAGCCTCATTTTGGGGGCTGCTTTATATCCCTTGATAAATAAGTGAGAAGGAATGGATCAGGCAATTTAAGGGCTTATTTTGGTTGCCTAAGTGCAGGTCCCTGGTGCCGTTCCTGATGAAGGCAGGCGCTGCTCTGGAGGAGTGTGGGCTCCTGCAACTCTTCCATCATGATTTCCAGCTTCACACCAATGTCCTTGAGGCCCTTGGATGTCCCCAGTGGCACGGGACCCCCGTATTTTCCCATCAACTGAGGCTCTCTGGGCATCATTCCCCACTCAGGAACATCCAAGCCTTTAAGGAACAGGGGTGAGATGTGCCAGCAACCCAGCAGCTAAAAGTCTGAAGCTGAAGTTGAGTTCTCGCGTTGAATTTAAGTGAAACGCTTTGATTTGAAAACCGGGATCGCAGCGTGATGAATTCAGGCCTTCCTGTGAGCTACCTCCTTTATTTTCAACCTGCTTGAAGAGCAGGTGAAGATAACGGTATACAAATCGTAGAATTCTTTGTAGCTTTTAGAAAAAAAACTTGAAAACTCTCATTAAAGTTTTGCGAAACAATAAGCAGAGTTTTTTGGCTCATTGATGATAAGGCTTGGGCTTATCTAGCACCTTTCACACATGAATTATAAACAATGCTGTAAACTTTTAAGACAGTCAATACAATTACTTCGAGCTCCTACTACATCCATTACACAGGGTGGTGAATTGGGCCACCTGCCCAAGGTCACGCAAGAAGCCACGACGGCGCCAAGGCTTTACAAGGGTATTTTTAAGCACACGGCTTTCAGCGAGATGACGCTGCGCTCCCAGAGGTAACGGGCAAGCGTGGAGATGAAGAAAACTCCTGAAGAAATGCTAACCTGGGTGATTTGAGCTTCGGAGCTGCCTGGCTTCAATTCACCCACCCTTAGAAGAGAACTTCCACTATTCAGACATTTCATTTTGTCTGTACAAGACATTTTTATTGGCAATATTTATAACATTGCTGCTACGGTGAAAAAATATCACTCTTTATTGAATCCTATTAAAGAACAACTTGGTTTTTCAAAGTCCATTCCTTCATTTCTTTTTAGGGTGTAGATACCTAGCACTTTCATTTTTAAAATAAGACAGGATTACTATTCATTGCAGTGCTCTATTGTAGAGAAGCTGGAGAAAAGGTAACATAGACCATTTTCAATAAATCTTTGCCATTTCAGGCAGATATGACAACAAATCTATTCTGTCATAGCCCGTCAGCAATTGAATTTGCACTTAATATTGATATACTAAGACACTGAAAGCAGAAATTCCCTGGCCAAATCATGGAGCTCCCTAAATACTGGTCTACATTTAAAATGTACCGGATCGTGTAAAAAAAAGCAGCACCCAAGACCAGCTTACAGAAATGACAAAGTACGACATTTTGTATTGTATTCAAGCACCCCAGAGGCTGCCAAAGCAACTGAGTTGACATGTTCATATTTCCCTGAAAAAAAAAAAAAAAAAAAAAAAGAAATGCTGTGATTTTCTGCCTTTTCAGGGAGGGGGATAAACGGACCAAAAAACCTCCCCCAAGCCAGCAGAAATCTCTCTCCAAACTGGTTTACTCCGTGAGCATTTTATTCTCCTCTTCCCTCAGCACAGATTACAAACACAAAAGAGGAGAATTACGGGTACAATACCTGCATGGGATGCCCTGCAAAGAGCTTCTCCCTCTTCTTCTCTGTAAATACTCAGCCTTTGTAAATACTCAGCCTAAATACAACAGCCTTGGTATTTGTGACCGCCAGCGTTTCAGCACCATTAGAGCTATCACAGACACCACTAAGACCTTTGCAAATTTATCTGGTTTATGCTCCTTCCACTTCATTAAGCAACGGCGCGTTCTGGAGTATATTTGTTCTCAAAGACCGCAAATACTGATTATCGAGATGAGTGCGAATCCTCCCAGATTTGGTATTTAACAATTAACAGTATGTGTTTTTTACTTCAGAATCATGATGTTGCTTCTTCAATCTATTTAATCGCTCACTGCTGACAATTTCTTCCCGTATCAGGCAAACAGAGAGAAATTAATTAAAGCATCTAATCTGACAAAGCCTCAATTCTATTTTCTGGGGAAAGAAACGTATTAAGCATAACTCAGCCCGCACAAATGCGCAAATAAGACTTCTATCAATCGGAGCTTAATTATTTGCAAACAATCATAACATGTTGTCGCTGTAGATTAGATTTATACCGCTGAAAATAAAAATAAATAGAAAAGCGGACATCATTTGTCAAAAGGCATCATTTGACTGAAAAAACAAAGTATGTTTAAGAGCACTTCCATCTGTAAGCCGTAGAGCAACGTTGACTTGACTTGTACTTAACTAACACTGCTATTGACCCACTGTAATGTGTAATGACAATTGATTTGGTTCTGATTTTGCTAACACCATGCCAAGTCTATCCATCTCCTTGGACTACCCCCCCCCTTCTTCAACCCAAGCCAACCCAAGCCATCCCACTGAAAAAAGGGCAAATTGCCTGATTGTGAGATTCGTGTGGTTACAAGATGGAAACGTTTCTCACGGCACGGTCAGGTGGAGTAAAAGCTTTCTCCCCCTCAACCCAGAGGTCTTCCTTCCCAACCAGAAAAAGGATGGAGGCTGAAATGTGGTGATATGTCCAGCCCACGGTGGGAAGAACTGGAATTCAATCTTTCCCTGGGCACCTGTGGTTTATCCTCATAAGGGCTGGGTACCGCGACTGAGCAGCAATGACCTGAATCTCACCCATAACGACCACGAATTAAGGGAACCGATACTTTCTCCTATGAAGTAATTTACTGAACAAAGCCGTGGTAGATTATTCCCTCTCCTTCATTCAGTTCCTTCTATTTTTATTTTTTTTTAATATATCATTTGTGATGTGCCCTTCCGCAAACCTACAAACAGGCACTTACATTTAACCATCAGAGCTCGAAAGAAATTGTGGGACAAAACGGATTTCTCCCAATATATGTTCAGTTTTCTTAACTCAGACTATTCACACAGATGTACCAATTCCTACAGATTTTTGATCTGTACCATTTTGTGAGGTCAAAGGTAGAACTTCCAGCAAAAAGCTGAGAGCTACCAAGAACTTGATGACAGGGCTGCTCAGAGGAAAGGTAGAGACCCAAAGCCTCATCCTCCACGGGGAACTTGATCAGTGCTGAACCCTCTCTCCCATGGCTGTGGGCTCTTGTTTATCCCTTTCCCTTGCTCAGATGGGAAACAAGGTCACTTCAGCAATTTTATTAAGTTCTGCAGGATAGGAGAACCTATGTAATGCTCTCCGGCCTCCCTGTCTTTCTTGTGTACTTTGCTGCCTTGAAAAAGCTCCGCTTCATCTATGAAATTTGTTCGACGATAAACGCTCTGTGGTCACTAAAATTTAACTCCTATTAAAAATCTCTTTTCTCCTCATTTACTTGGCTTTGTAAGGGAGCTGCTCCATATTAAAAAACCATGTAATTGGCATAGGCAACCACTACAGACAAAAGAAAATATAGCAGAAACTGCAATAGTGTCCAGCTGATTATAATTATTGATAATAAAAATATCACACTTTACATCTGTGTATTGCAAAGCGTTCTGCTCTGGCAACTTGAACTCCTACCCCTGTTTTTAAAGGCTTATAGCAGTGAGACAGAGGGATTTATCCATTGCTATCCACCTCGTAAAAATAGAAACGATGACTCTTTAGGCTTTGCCTGGGCTGAGCCTAGCAGAAGTATGATTTCTGAATTCTCTCCATAGTTTTTCCACTGATGCGTTGTGAAGCCCTGGCAAGCTTCCAGGCCTTTTATATTTTATTTTATTTTTTTTTTAGATGAGGAAAACATTGCTGACGCTATTTAACTTTATGAGGCATAACTAGATCCTATTTGAAAGATCGTATGAGATCTTCGGATGGGTGAGCATGGCTTGCAGGGTGCAGGAGGGGGCTGGGGGAAGGTCCTGGTACTCACGAGGGTTGGTTGGTTGTGAATCCATGGGGATCATGAGCTTGGCACGGGTGGCTCTGCGGGCAGCCAGTGAGCGCTCTAACGTGGACATGCTGCTTCCGACATCTTCTGTCTCAGGACCTAGAGAAAACCAACACAACAGCTCAGTTGAAAATGCTGTAAATGAGTGTTTCTCTTCACCCTAGATCTAGCAGAAAGATCAGGCGGGTTTTTTTTTTTTTTTAATTCAGTTATTTTAACCCAACATTAAATATCACCATCACCGGCAAAGAGCTGCACAGGCTATTTTGGCTGCCTTTTCTGAATAAAATTATTGTTTGCATTTTTCCCCTTTTTCTTCATCTCTGAAATTATCTTGAAAACCCCATTCGCTTCATAAAGATACGACATTTTTCTTGTAACCTCCCTGTTATAAACATATTTTAAAATTCAAGTATCAGGACCAGAAAAAAGGGCTGCACCAATTCAGGTACCTACAACACTTGGCAGCCAAGAATTGCTCTTTGAAATAGAACTGAAGGATGATAAATGTCGTTCCTTGTGAGATGCCACAAAGTCCTATCTCGTGATCATCCCATAATTCACAGTGGCTCTTCCAGCCTGGGCATCTTGGTTTTTTCGACAGAAACCATGGCAAATTAAAGATGTGCCTGGATCTTCCCCTTATTTAGTCCTGGATCACAACTAGCACATCTAGATCAGAGAGCTGAGATACGCTCCAATCCAACTCAAAATTGTCCAAGTGGCTATATAAATCAGACATTCTGTTTAGGTATTGAAGTATGGATGCTCTAATTTAGTCACATTAGTCCAGGATATTTGAAGTATTCAAAAAGTCTAGAGAATAGACTTGTCAGAAAGGAAGTGTGCTTGGAACTGGGTGTTTGGTGGAGTAATCCGCACAGGACAAAGGGCCATGGGCACAAACTGAAGCACAAGAGCTTCCATTTGGACAGGAGGAAGAACTTGTTGACTTTGAGGGTGCCCGAGCCCTGGCCCAGGCTGCCCAGGGGGGCTGTGGAGTCTCCTTCTCTGGAGATCTTCAACCCCCGCCTGGCCGCTGTCCTGTGCCCCCTGCTCTGGGTGAGCCTGCTTGAGCAGGGGGGTGGCACTGGGTGAGCTCCCGAGGGCCCTTCCAACCCTTGCTAGTTTGGTATTCTGTGAAATAAAAGCTCTCTTCATACCTCGTCTCACATGAACCTTGTATTTATGTTACTTTTGCTATTTTAATCAACCACGGATGAAGTCAGTTTAACACTGTCACACAGTTAAGCTTAATACCCACTCAGAATATTCATCTCTGATGTACCCAAGCAAACACCTATTCCTTCAAAAAGGGAAAAAAAAAAGAAAAAGATTTGCATGAAAAGAATATTTCTTTTTTCCAAATCGCTCTTCTCTGAACCGCAGGACTAAAATGCCGAGTCTTCTATCGATGGCCATTCAAAGACCTAATTGCTAGTGAAAAGCCAGGGATGGTATTACTGAACTGTGCATTACAGAATGGGAAGAAAGATAAAGGCATTTATTTACGGTCCAAGGCGTTTCCACATCAAATATCTCGCCCAGCCTTTGTCATTAACTTGCTCGTGGGCTGTGATGGCTTCCTACCACGCACTCGATTGCAAGCCTATTGCAATCAATGAAGCTCTCGCATTGATCTTGCTGGGCCCTGGACCAGCTCTCCCGAGCATCAGCAATATCTGTTTAGGCACGAGGAATCTTCTGATCACGTTTTCCCAATGCCTCATATATTGAGGACCTTTGCATGAAACCCAAGAGAAATCATTGTCACAATTCTCTTCTAAAGAGCAACCTAACAGCCCAAACCACAACGTCAGAAAATCAGATCCAGAACTGAAAACTGTTCCTTTTGAACTTTTCTTTCCTTGCCAGAACAGGAGCTATGGAACAGGGAGGCACCTGAAAAAGTCACCATCGTTATTTACAGCCCCAGCCGATATTCTGGAATTGTTTCCCTCCGTCACCCACAAGCCACGTGTTCACAATGACCTCAAGACAAATACGTTTTCAGCTTCGGTGCTGCATTTCACCCCCCCACCCCCCTCTGTACAGACCACCTGCCTCTCCCAAGACTTTCTATATTATGGTGGATAAAAAGTTATCAGCTAAAGTAAAACCTGTCTGTGTGCACTAAAGTTAAAAAAGGAGGAGAAAACTTCACTGAACCCACATTTTTCTTACAGAATTTCTTTCTCCTCTAAGTTTTCTCAGTTTCCCTGGCCTGAATTCTGCCCCTGGTGATGCCACTGACCTTCCTGATCACGTTCTCCCTTTGCTCCGTTTTTAATTTCTTTTTTTCCCCAGTTACTTCCCCATGCCTCCTTTCTCCCCTCTGTTTTTCTTAGCACGGTATGAAAATTTAACAACATGTGACTTCCAGTTGAATTCCTGAACTTAAAAAGTTAGAATGGTGTAAAAATAAAAAAAAAAAAGGGGGGGGTTCCCCTAGTCTGAAACCACCTCGAAAATAATCTAGGAACATCTCTCCTGGCACCCATATGAGAGCTGTCAATGCTTCCCATCTCCTCCTGGATCTCACCAGGTTTGTCCCTCTGTTGGAGACTCCATGTGCTGGGCTAAAGTCACTAACCAGCAATATCAAATTAATTTAAAGAAAATTTATATCCTGGCAATGTGAAAAAAAACCCCTGGAGTACGTGGAATGGGGTTGGACTCGATGACCTTAAAGGTCCCTTCCAACCCAAACCATTCTATGATTCTATGATTCTCATCTGCCCAAATCTGCAGAGCAGGTGAAAAGAAGCTGATCTTGGTCTCTCCTGCCCTGGGAGCCCCTCACCGGGCTGCGGGGTGCTCTTGCTGCCCAGCTGCGTTTCCGACTGGCTGTGGCTGACGGGGGTGATGTCCTGGCAGCTCTGCATTGGGGAATCCCTTCCTGCGGGGTCCGAGCCCGTCGGCTTCTCGATGTTCTTCATTTCCATCTCCTCATGGTGTATCCACAGATCTGGGGGTCTCAGGTCCTTCTGGCTGCCCTTCCTTTTACCAGCACTGTGGGTTGCACGTTTCCTGCAGCAAAGAAAGATCAAAACTGTCACGTAAGAACATTTTTCTCCTCTATATGACCAAAGGAGTGATGTTTACTCAGTGGTGTCTCTCCAAGGAACCCCTCTGGTTGTGTCCTTCAAAGGGCAGCAGTTACCTTGGTGTGGTCCTAGGCTTTCTGCAGTTTGCTCCAGGGGATGGGCCTGGGGCTCAGCAAGGTGGGGCGTTTTTTGCACCCCTGGATGTAGAAATTGGGGAAAACCTTCCTGGAACAGAAGGGAAGGGGCCATCTCAGGATGAGCGGCACGCGCGGAGCCCACTTCTGCCATATTACGTGCATTTTATACCTTCCGTAACTGCCTGCAGCATATGTTACTTTTCTTTAAATATACACGAAAGCAGTATTTTTATTACAGAAAAGCTCAGAAATGCAGGGTAGCGTTTCCCAAAGCGACATTAACTCTCCTCTCCTTATGCACGGGTGCTAGAATACGATCTCATGGCTGGGGCCACCACCTCCACCGGGGAGCACAGCATTCCATGAGGGGACGGCACCGCTCCGCTGCTCTCAGCCTTCCACCTCCCCTCGACTACCCAGGCTATTTCTAAGAAAACAGGCACGTTTTTCTATTCTAAAGAAAAGAGAGGCTCCTTAAATACGGAGCGCAATGTCTAATTTACAGCTGTAGAGACAGCCTTATCAGGAATCTATCCATTTAAATAGCAGGATGGTTTTTCTGGCTTATTGCTAGGGGGTTTTTCCTCAATAATCCAAAAGTAGAATCATGGAATCGTTGAGGTTGGAAAAGCCCTTTAAGCTCCCCCAGCCCAACCGTTCCCCTACCCCTGCCATCCCACCCCCAAACCCTGGCCCTCAGCACCTCGGCTGCCCGGCTGTTAAATCCCCCCACGGGTGGGGACTCAACCCCTTCCCTGTTTTTTTCCCTTGTACATCTAAAGTATTTTGTGAAAGGAAAGTAGTATTACTGTCCCCAGTGGAAAAGCAGGAATACTTGTGATATACAAAAAGCCGCAGGCAAAGATTTTCAAACCCATGCGCACTTTTAGGTAACAAAAAAAAAAAAAAGGAAGCTTTGATTTCCAGGGACACCAAGAGCTCTCAGCTCCTCGTTGCCCCCGCCATCCCCTCACCCCAAAACGCAGCTGGGTACCTCCTGAAGGGAAGGCTTTTTCCCGACTCTGCGGAAAGCAATGCAAAGCCTCTCGCCAGCATCCCTAGGACTCCCACCGCCTGCATCCTTCGTGTAGGTGTGCCCTTCCCATCGCACGCCGCAGGCAGTGTCGTGGAAGGCGGCATAGGATTATTTTACCAAAAAAAACCCCAAACTTGAGGAAATTTTAAACTTTAAGAATGGTAGGAGTCAAGTTCTGGTCTTTGCTCAATTTTCGCAGCCTGGTTTAGAAAGCAAGGGATGCGTGCCACGACTGCGTGCATCACCCAACATTTTCCTTTCAAGAGAAAGAACAAACACATCCTATAATTTAAAAAGTCACCGAGGGCAGAGGCCAGCCTTGGCCCCACCAGCTGATGGCAATGACATTTTACTTTGGCAGAAATATGTCAGGCGTCAAACCGCCGCCCTTAAAGGGAGAAGTTGGGTGAGGTCCTTTGACTGAGCAGTACCCCAAAAAGCTCTTCCAGGGTCAGAAGATTCATTTTAAAGTGTGATCTGGAAAGTTAGCAGTAGAGGTGAGGCTGGGGTTGTTCGGAGATTTTTATTTATAGTGTAATAATAAATACGATGGTTGGTCTCCAGCTATAATTACTTCCTATGTTCAGCTCGTTATTTTGGACATGGAACTGTTGGAGCGGGGCCAGAGGAGGGCTACTAAAATGATCCGAGGGCTGGAGCCCCTCTGCTAGGAGGCCAGGCTGGGAGAGTTGGGGGTGTTCAGCCTGGAGAAGAGAAGGCTGCGGGCAGAGCTGAGTGCGGCCGGTCAGGGCTTCAAGGGGGCCCAGAGGAAAGGGGGGGACAAGCTTTTTAGTAGGGCCAGCTGGGACAGGACAAGGGGGGATGGTTTGAAACTGAAGCAGGGTAAGTTTAGACTGGATCTAAGGAAGAAATTCTTTCCAGTGCGGGTGGTGAAACCCTGGCAGGGGTTGCCCAGAGAGGGGGTGGAGGCCCCATCCCTGGGAACATTCCAGGCCAGGTTGGCCGGGGCTGTGAGCAACTTGATGTGGTTCAAGGTGTCCCTGCTCCTGCAGGGGGGTTGGGCTGGGTGACCTCTGGGGGTCCCTTCCCACCCAAACCATTCTGTGATTCTGTGATTTTCTAATTGCCAGGACTTAATTATTTGAAATGATAGCATTTCAAAGAGCAGGGCAAAGGGACTGCACTTAGCCCCCAAGGAATAAAGACAGTCCTTTAATTCCTTCTTGCATGGGCCCTAGTGCCATCCTGATTAACACCTACAAGAATAATTACGAGCACTTTCAGTCAAACCTCAACACAGGACCTGCCTGAATTTAAAAAGAGAAGTTGTTCTTTCTGTCTTGTTCGAGAAAAGACTGTAATTTCGGTTCTGAACACAGAATTACTTCCTTCACTTTGGGATACGGCAGCTTTTTTGGTCACTTGCAATTGAAAAGAATTCATTTCTCCAGGCTGGAGCTAGGCAAGAGAAATTTCAGCCCCAAAGTCATTTTATACGCAACTGTAACGAGGGCGTTATAACGGATGTGGCGTTCCAACCCTACCTACACAACCGCTCCAGCAATGATATCATTTAAAAGGATATGCAACGATCTAGCTTGGTTTGCATTGGGTTTTCTCACAAATTATTGATGTTCTGACAGCCCGCGAGTACCAAACTGAATCAGAGCCAGGAGTGCACAGGCAGAGGTCATCAATAACAAATGAAAATAAATCCTCCCCTGGAACGGTTTGTTTATGCAAGGCAGAAGTTGAGCTTCGGCTTCTGAAAACGCATCTGCCCGCAATCACAGGGAGAGGTGGGATTTTTCCCACGCCAGCCGAGCCCCTTCTCTCTGGAGCAGACGGGCACGAAAGCTTCACCAGCAGCTTCAAACCTCAGCTGCGGCAAGGGAAACCGATGCTTCGGCAGCACGCGCGCGTTGGGATTCAAATCGAGTCCATTACCCATTTTCTAACTGGAGCCGGGATTGGGAAGACAAAGAGTTTGGCATTGAAAAACTGATCTTGGATGGCAGCGTTTCTGTTGTTGTTCAGTTCTTTTACAACATGAAATGCATCCAGCTTGCATACCATAACGACATATATTTTTTTTTTTTCCTACGGACGGATATAAAACCAGAGCTCAGGCTCTGCCCTTAAAATATATATTATGGCCATGCAATCTTGAATAATGATAGCAGAACTTAAGCTGTACTTTCACAACAAATAAACTCTCTGGAGAGGAAACTCTTTCTCGTTGTGTAATTCTATAGTTTGCAGCCCACCACCACCCGGGCAGTGACTCCAGCCCTTACACAGCACATCCACACAGCTCCTAACACCATCCACATGCTACGTCGAAGAATTTTTCAAATACTCCAGAGTGAGATTACTCTTCATTGCCTTCATTTTACAGTTACATTACCCCAGAGAAAACAGTAAAGGTTATAACAACTCAGCCTAGTTTATTTTTTTAACAACAACTGAAGATGTCTCCATCTGAAGATCTCAGAAATAAACTGTTCACAGAATCACAGAATCGTTTAGGTTGGAAAGGACCTTTCAGATCCCCCAGCCCAACTGTTCCCCTACCCCTGCCATCCCACCACTAAACCCTGGCCCTCAGCACCTCATCTGCCCAACTTTTAAATACCCCCAGGGTTG